TTCGAGGGACCTGGTACAGATGCGCTTGGCGTGTGGGAGCATTCTAGTAACATCATTAACAAGGGATACCAACATGAAGTCCGAGCGGTCTTGGAATTCTTGGTGATCTTGTGACCATGGCCATACTCTCAGCAAGATGGGATTGAAGTACTGGAGTATGCTTTGCATGTGAAATACTGCTTCCCCGTAATTCTTCCTATCCAGCAGAAGTGCTGCCAGCTGACATGCACTATTTTTGCAATGTTAACTGACACGCAGTGAGAATTCAACGTCTTCAGTTTATCAAAACTAATCAGGTAACCTTTTCCGACTCTGTTGGTGCCTCCTCTTCTTGTTGCTGCACTTTGGGCTCAGATAATTCGAGATCCGACAGTTCGTCTGAGCTTTCTGATCCGTAATATCCCGTATCCATGCCTCGCCAGCCGTAGAGTTGCTCGATGAAAAATATTTTCTAAAATGCGACATTCTGAACAGCGAACAAAAAAAGCATAGGACATAGGAAACAAGAGACCTACGAAACATCTAAAATACATCCGCTCCTCAGCCTCGAACTCAACATTCCTCATTATCCCATATTACAGTGCCCGCAAAGCGTAGCATCCAGGCGAAGCAGAACGATGGTTTTACAGACGAATTATGCATGACACCCCACGTGGGGAAATGTGCCGAAAATTTCAGCCTCCTAGCTTCACCGGTTGCCAAATTGAATGACCTCCGCACCTCTCGTCACCTTATCGTCAATGTGACCTTGACACCAAAACCTCTCGTCACAATGTGTTTTTGCATTCGCAGAAATGTGTAATAACGCAAGAGATATTCGAAGCAATAATTCCAGTTCTTTCTTTAAATCCGATCCTCGTTTCTGGAGTAGTAAGATCCAATATAGTTTTAGTTTGGATGTCTGGGTACAGCCGGCCCGCTCACCGTCCCGTGACGAATTTTCTCCCAAATGTGTAAAAAACGGACGAAGGTTTTGCTAAAGGTTTCTGATTCGGTCATCGCGCAAGCCTGCATCCGGCCGCATCAAAGCTCACAGTTGACAACTTCGAAAACTTGCCGGAAAACAATAACCGAAAAGCACTCCGCTGGAATTTTGTATTGCATAACTAGATGATTACAAAAATTTCACTCTTCTGACTTATAACCGCTACATACAGTGAAGCCGCTTAACAGCCTAGAGTGGCCCTACAAGAAAAAGATCATGCGTTACAAGCGGAAAGATCAGAAACGCACTCTGCGGTACTGTATTCCATGAACTCTTCTCAATCGCGAGGTGTTATTCGGCCGTTTCGTATCCACTTGACTTATCCCATCTTGCGCTGCCATTTCTTCTTTCTAAGATATACAAATCTAGTGAAATAATCGCCATCTGCTGCTCGCACTGCTTTTTGTCATTACTCGTTAACGAGACACGCAATAAAGAATTAGAAAGTGGTGCGCAATAAATGTGTCTGTAGGAGTGTGTGTGTGTTCGTCCGTGTGTATATGTGTGTTTATGCTGGGTACCAAATTAAATCCCTCCTCTTTCCCTCCCCCCTTCTCTCCAGCCTCTTCCTGTTTCCACTTGCAGTAAGGCGAAGGCACTCGAAAGTAGCATAAGTAATATCATGCAAATAAATGGCCAACGCACGGGCTGCCCGTGCGAAGATGCGTTTTTTGCAGAGTTCCCCACAGGTTTTTGTCGCTAGCGGCATC